TTAGAGAGGGAGGTTAAAATATATTTGTACATGTAACTGCTGTGAAGAATATTGGAAGCTACTTCTTTATATCTTTTTTCTTTCTTTTCTATTTTTCTTCAATTTTTTCTTGTTTTTCCTTTGAGTTCCTCCTTACTTTATGTTAGTTTGTATTAGTTTTTATCTTTTTCTTTAAACTTTTTAATAAAAATTATAGACAAAACAAAAAAAATCTTTAGACAGGCTCTTCTGAAAATCATCCCACAATCAGGAGCTTATTTATCTGGCATGTGAGAAAAGGCCTTCTTGGTATGGAGCTGGAATGTCTTCCCTCAGAAGTTTTGTCCATTCCAGCTCCCTTTGCTTTTGGAAGAGCAGTTTAAGGACATGGCACCTGTCTTGCCAGGCTTCAGGCATTAACATTTGTATTGGTTTTACTATAGGTCTTTGAATGTTTATTGTTATCGGTTGCCACCCTGAATGCAAAGATAAGATGATATTATCACTACTATTATACCAAGGTGGTAGATGAACCCATTGTGCTATGAAAGTTTTGTTATACCCAGCTTTGTCTATATATCAATCATGTTTTGTCATATTAGTTTGGTTTTCTACTGTATTTATTTTTTTGACTTTTACTGTGTTTTATTTTTACTGGCGTAGTTCACCCAGAGTCATAAATTGTGAGCAGGGCGGTCTTATACAGTCTAAATAGATAGATAGATAGATAGATAGATAGATAGATAGATAGATAGATAAAATTATCCAATTGCATGTCTTCAGTGGGGCTCAGGCTGGAGTTCCAAGGCACATTCTGTGATGAAGTTGACAATAGTTATTCACTGGGTACATATTTAAAAGGATATATAAGTTTGCAAGGATATAAGCTCATACGCACAGATCTATACAATCCTGTATGTTGCAACTAAATAGCATATAAATGTATGATATATGCACAAGTACAATATATAGTCTTTAAGATTTTAAGGCATTCACTAAATAGGCCAAATGTTTTAAATGTTTAAAAATACATTTTGAATTTGTGGCATCCCCGCTCAAAATCTCTTTAAATCCAATTGTACAGCTAAATCCTTTCATGATTACTCTCTTCAAATATTACTATAAATAAGAGAACACCTGGCTATTCTACACAATATTTTACTCTCAGTGTTCTGATTAGTACTACCACACTGTAGTTATCATATATATTGGAGAAGGCTTGTTTGATTTTTAAGCATTTGTTTAGAAGAACATTTGTGCAAATGTATCTCATTTCTCAATTTGCATATTTCCTCCTTATCCAGAGTGATTTTATACAATTGATTTGTTCACAGAATTCCTTACCTAATGCAGAAAAGATGGCTGCTGCCCAGAACATTTCTCCCATCAGGGCGGGTATGAAGATAAGCCCTCCCATCCGTTTTCCATAAATTTGTTGGAATGGATCCAACATTGTCACATACCCTTTGGAACGCATGGGCTTTGCAAAAAACAAGCCACCTAAAAGATAAAAAAACATCAGAAATATCATAGACATAAAAAAAAAACTATTAAGTCAACTCAGTGTTTTCCTGATTCAATGTATTTTCCATCTTCAATAATCACTGTAATCTATGATTATGCATACCTTTTTCTATAGAAATAAGTTTTTATTTTAAAAAGACGCTGCAAGCTCATAAGCCCATAAAAGATTTTATTTTAACCATAGGCAGCAGTGTTCTGTTTACAAAATAAGAAATACCTGCACGCCCAGGAAATTCTTTTGCAAATCCATTATTAAAAATCATCCATATTTATAGCTCTAGAATACTCCATTTTCTAAGCATCACTGATATTGACTGGAAACTAGAGTACCTTTACAATTCAGATAATATCCTATTTTATAAAGCCTTAAAATGGAAGCAAAAATTATCTCTATGAACTGCAAACCTTTTGTGAAATTGAAAAAAGTTTGAATTCTAATTATTTTTCTGGGTCAAGTAGCCAGCCATAACAATGGATGATGATAGGTTTTATATATGTAATATCACTCTGCTTATAAGAAACATCTAAACACACACCAAATCATTTTTCCATAATATAACAATCCAATAAACCTTTCTTCTCAATGACTATATAATAATGGAACTGGGGTTCTTATAGTTGTTACTGCTAGTGCATGACCAGTGGAATGTTATAATCAGTATTAGGTGTTTCAGTAAAAGAATAGAAATTATCACTTGGACACAGACTTAATTTTACTTAGAGCAGCTCCTTTACTTAGTCTTACTCAGAGCAGTTATCCCAACAGAGGAAAAATTCAGTAGTGGAATTAATTACATAATAAATGTAATTTATTACAAAACTGTAGGTTCTCTTTTATTGGATATATTAAAACAAAGGTTGAGCTCCCATATGCTTGGGTGCTTTAATTTGTATTCCTGCCTTGAACAGGATGTTGAACAATGTCCTATGTTGTCCCAAGGCTTTGATTCTATGATTCATCAAAATCAACAGGATTTAATTTCCATCCATTTTAGCTTGTTTAGTAAATAGCTTAATCTAACAATGACTAATTCTTGATGCTACCCAATATTTGAAAGAAAAAATATCCTCCTGTAAGTTTCTTGTGCACTTTTAAAAACTGACCGCAGCAAAAACACTAAATAACACCAGGCTTTGACATGAATTGGATCCTTAATATCTTAGTGCAAGACAGCTGAACATAGGTCTGCAATACCATCTCTAGTGCTGGCTGCACCCATTTTCCCCAAATCCATTTACACTGAAAGAACACAGGAATAGACAGTGACATTGTTTTCTGGTCTCAGTGGCAGCAGAATCTTGGCTTAAGCTTTATCTTTGCCATTTTAATAATACATTTGTCTTTTGCTTTGTTTCCAGCTTTAGCTTACCTACAACTAGGCTAAGTGCATACCCAAAGGGTGCCTGAGCCCAGGCGAGTCCATAGCCTGGAACATACACTGCTTCAGCTGTCCCATTTATATAACCGCCTCCAACCCAGGTGGCTGCGGAAGAAATGGAGAACTTTAGATTACACAATGGATGGGGAAAGCAAAGGTGAATAATTTATTTGCGCAGCAAAAATAATGTAATGGAGAATGACATCGTGCGCAATCACATCTCAACTAAATACTTCTTAGTTTGCATGCCCTTAATTTGCAAATTTACATCACGCATTAAAAATGAGTAGATTTAGTCCATTTAAATAAGTAACGGGAAAGAGAGAAAGAAAAAAGAGCAAATTGTAACTGGCATATACATACAGTACATACATCTAAATGCTAGTCTTAATGCTCTTTGTTACTCTGTTTCTGCTTAGACTTATTTTTGTCTTTTAGGCTCTGCCTTGTCTTCACTCACAGAAGAAATGGCAATGTAGTTCTTTTCTGAGCACCTAGTGAACTGATTCTCAGTAGCATCACCATCAAACAGGAGATACTGAACATTTCCACCCAGCTCACAAATATATGTTTAGCTGGGAGAATATTCAAATGTTTACAGCTTAGTAAAATTCTGCATTATAATGGCAGTGATTATCTCTCCTACAGCTTGCCTTTTCCAAATATTTCAAGAAGTAAGAAATACATCATGGATCCACATTAATTCAACAGTACTTTGGCCCTCATTGGCCCTATCATCCTCTGAAGAGGCTTCGGGGTTATCAATAGCATAAAGTTGTTGGACAACAGGATTTCACATTCAACACCAGGAATCTTGGACTTAAATTGTTGGCTGAACACTAGGGAATGAGGATTGGTATCATCATGTACTAATGAGCCACCTCGGGTTACCAAATGGATTATGCATGTTCCAGGTGAAACCTCTGTATTTCTATAGGCAAGAATCAATGTGACATTCTCTGACTGAGTCTCTTCCTTCTTCGTTCCTGCCTCTCTGTATACAGGGGCTCTGTATAACCCCCAGTCGTGTCAGATTATTCCACACAGAAACGGAAATTCTGATTAAGTTCCCTATGGTCCAGGGTTGGCGGCTGACATAAGTGATGTATTTTTCATAAACAGGCTGCTTTAGTATTTATTATGAACCTCCCCAAATGAGTTTCATAATTCTGAACCTGAATGGAATTAGGCTGGGGGATTTGAAAAACTTAGGATAGAATTAAAAAAAGAAAAGAAACAAAACCCTCTAGTTGGGATACTAAGCTATGTACCTCAATGAAATACCTGAAAATAGTGGAAAATGTACTATTTATTGGAATGGCTTCCTAGAATCATAGTGGAAGCTGTGGTTAATCTGTTGCCCAAATATGTATCATTGGCTAATTCCCATCCCTGCTGATACCTCCTATACAGACAAAAAGGGATATTTTGAAACACTCAAGCCAATATATAACAGAAATGAAAAAAGTTAGATAGATATTCTGATATTACTTCCTACCAAAAGAATAGGATATTGCAAAATCAGTGGCATGTAAGCAGTCTGCAAGTTGCTATTATTGTTCTTCTTGTGAAAGATGAGGATATAAATACTACTAATAATATTGATTTATTAGTAGTAGTAATTTATCCCTCTTTTTTTCTCTGAAGGCATTCAAGCCAGATATTTTTAAAAACAATTTAACAAGCAATTCATGTCTGATAATAAATAGTTAAAACTCACTATTAACTAATTCAAAGGAAAAGGCTTGGTTAAAGAGGAAAGTCTTTCCTAGAAATAGAAAGAGTAGGAGTGAAGCATAATTTCCAAACTAGGAAGCTGTGACTATGGAATGAAGACAAAGTCCCTTTGTTATTTATTCTGCTTGTGTGGATGCCACACAAGCCGATCATGGAAAGAACATGTAACAGAATGGCTCTGGAAAGCCAATGCTGCTAGTGGAATTTTAAGCTGCATGATGGATATGCAGATAACTGATATAACATGGATATGGTAAGGTGCAACTCAGGTGGCATTGCTGGCTGTTGTAGCAAGCCTTACTCAGATCAGTTATCCACACAGCAGTCCTGCTCTAGCCAAAGTAGTACCTTCTACACAGAAACCAAAATGTCTGCAGCACCAAGAATAATATAGAAAAAACCTATACTGGTAGTCCTCTAGTTACAATCATTTGTTCAGTGACCATTTGAAATTACGGTGGTGCTGAATGTATAGTACTTACACCTGGTCCTCAAAGTTACAGCTGTTGCAGCACCCCTGCGGTTATGTGATTAAAATTTGGGTGCCTGGCAGCCTGCCTGCACTTACAATCGCCAAGGGAGCTTCAACTACCCTTACCTGATTATCTCCCCCCCATCTCTGCCCTTTTGGCCACCCTGCACAGCGCCACTCTTCGGTGGCAGTAGCACTGGGGCTGAAGTAGAGGCCTGGGGCCTTCAGCAGTCTCAGGTGGCCGCCACCCCCACGAGGCCTCTACTTTAGCCGCAATGCCTCCACTACCACTGAGTGCCATCTGAAGCCTTGTGCCGTAGCCAGCCATCCCAGTGCCACAGTGCAAAGTCCCAACTGCCCCTGCCATCCTATGCTCCACTCACACTGCCTCCCTACTGGCCCTCCCGCCTTGTGCTCCACTCACCCTGCCACCTTCCTCCTGCTGCTGACGAGGTGTGCCTGGCCTGGCCATATGTGAGGCAGCTGCTGGCCATACCAGGCCTTCTTCCTGAGGCCCCTCATACTCCAAATAGCGTGGGCTGTTCTTGTGATGCTTCGGAAAGCCTTTGGAAAGCTTCTGAGGCCTTCTGAAGCATCGTGAGAACAGCCTGTGCGATTTGGAGAACAGCAGGTGTAGCCTTCTCGCGAGGTTTTAGGAGGCTTCAGAAGTCTTCCAAAGCATTGTGAGAACGGCCCGTGCTATTTGGAGAATGATGTGAGCGGCCTTAGGAAGAAGGCCTGGCGGGGTCAGCAGCTGCCTCTCATAGGGCCAGTTTGGGTGTGCCTCATCAGCAGCGGGAGGAAAATGATGGGGGTGGCAGCGCTGGTGGGGATGGCAGGGTAGCAGGCCAGCGAGCGCAGGGCAGCAGAGCTGGCAGGATGGGACGGCCAGCAGGGCCAGCGGAATGCAGGGCAGAAAGGCCAGCAATGGCAGTGGAGTGCAAGGCAGCTAAAAGGGCAGAGATGGGGGGGGGAGATAGGTGGGGGGGGGAGTTGAAGAGGAGACAGTCCCTTGCCTTACCAAGGCTTGGGACTGGGAGGGACCAAGTGATGAATGGCTTGGATTGTGGTGGGTCTCACCTAATGACTGGATTAACAATGGCAACAGGGTGTGCCATTGATTTCCGTCACTAAGTGATGCTGTCACATGATGTTGCACTTTATGACCACATCGCTTTGCAATGGAAATTCTGGTCCCAATTACCATTGGGACTCGAGGACTACCTGTAGTGTAATTAGAATTTAGTGCACTCAATTGGAACTCCATGGGTAGGATGGGAAACTATTAAGAGTAGGAAAATGAAATAGAAATGTCCTGAAAAAGAACATAATTGAATAAGATAATTCTATACTCCAACCCTATGTTCCAAGTTTAACTTCTATTGGTGTAAGTTCCATTAAAAAGAACACCAAATAGAGCAATTTCACATTACTGTTCGCCTGAACTAATGGAACTGATTCCTTTTCTAAATATTATTATCCAAATAATTTTTCTGGAATTCATTGTCTTCCAAGAAATTGCAGAGAACTTATTTATTATGTTCTCAAGCTCTCTGTTATCAACATTTTCTGGGTGAAGAAGAAATAGTAAAGTCCAAGACATCAACAACATAAAGGCAAATCCTCATTTAAAATAAAAATAAAACAGCAGCAAAGAATCAAATAGTACATCATGTAACAACACTAAAGTAATGTTATTTTGTTCATTCATCTGGTTGTTTCACATCTGTCTGTCACCACAATCTTATACTCCATACCTTTAAAACTCAGTACACCACTGGGTATTTATATTAGGCACAGCCTGTTTTCTATTCAGTGTTGTTACAGGCATTGCTTAAAGGCACACAAATATGTCCAGTATAATTATTTCATTTATACATTAACTAATTTTATATCTCATATTAGCTCCCATCCTTCCCCTCTTGCCCCTTGATGGATGAATCGTTTTTCATAAGCTTATGGTAGAAAAGGTAGCAAAAAGTCCTTTTCCACCCTTTTAGGACTATTTTACAGTTGTGATGAGCAGAGTTTTGATTTTCGTTTCAGTAGGATTATTATTACCATGGGTTTTTAAAAAAAATTGGAAGGTTATTTTGAAATAAATTTTAAAAATACAGGCAAAACATGAACAACATACATAATAATAGAGCAACTAGGAAAAACAAAATAAGGAAAATTAAGGGAAAAAAAGAAAACATTGATTATATTTGACAGAGTATTAATCATAGATATGCTTTCAGGGCAACTAGAGAACAACCATTTAAAGAAAAGCTTAAGACAGAGTAAAATTGGATGTGTAATTTTCATATCAATATAATTCCATGATATTAGAATGAAATCAAATGTTAACTCAGAATCTATCTATCTATCTATCTATCTATCTATCTATCTATCTATCTATCTATCTATCTATCTATCTATCTCAACATTTGAA